AACTCTTAGAAAATTCTCAATCAAAAAATGCCCTAAACGATCCCCTTAATTAAAAAATTCAAAAAATAATTTTCCTAAACGAACTCTTAAAAAATTCTCAATCAAAAAATGCCCAAATGATCCTTTTAGTTAAAAAATTCTCAAAAAACCATTTCCCAAACGAATTCTTAGAAAATTCTCTATCAAAAAATGTTCCAAATGGTCCCTTTAGTTAAAAAATTCTCAAAAATAATCTCTCCAAACAAATCTTTAGAAAATTTTCTATCAAAAATGCTCTAAATGATCCTTTTAGTTAAAAAAATAATTTTTCCAAACGGACTCTTAAAAAATTTCTCAAAAAAATCTATCTAAAAGTTTCTTAAATAAAATCCCTATTAAATATTATTCAAATGGACTTTTAAAATTTCTTAGAAAATTATTTATAAAAATTATCTAAAAAATGAATTTAAATAAAAAATTTTAGTTGAAACAGATTATATATAATACAGTATGTTATACAAAATAAAAATCTTACGTATTAAAATTTACATATCGGGTACCTGATATGTGTAAGATAGATCAATGCCAGATATACAATATCAGTGACTAATAGCTTAGCTATTGGGTACCCGATATGTAAAAATACCCGATATTTATCCGATTAGCCACCGATATATAGGTACCCGATATGTATCCGATAGAATTGATTTTGACCAGTGTACACCGCTAAGGTCATATTTTTCAGATTTATCTATTTTGTCCTTAGTACGATCAACAATGTTTTTCGTTATAATTGGAGGCTCAGCTCTGGAGTCTAGAGTCATGGCTGGAATCTTCAAGCGCCTGATTTTGCACTTTATAGTGGCAACACTGGTTTTCGGCTCCTTCTTCTTGACGAAGTCGATCTCCATAGGGCATAGGATCATCTAAAGACTCCTCTTCCAGACTGGACTCATCCAAATCTTTTGAAGATGATGATACATCATTTTGGGATACTATCTTTGCCTCTGTAGAAGCCACTATCTGTTTGGACGCAATGAGACCAGAATCTTGGAAAAAATGTGGAGAGAAGATTAGTTTAAGCTCACTATGAAGGACTTTACGAATAGTCTCCTCTAGTGGTATTTCTCTCAGCTTGGCACTAGACATCTCTTTAGAGGATAATTTCTCAGATTCACTCTCCTTCTTCACTTCTTTTTGCCTTGGTAATATTAACAGTAATATCGCCTCCAGAATTGGAAGAATCATCTGAACTTGAATCAGAATCAGAACTATCACTAGATGAGGTATTGGAAGAAGAAGAATCTGAATCTGGTTCTATAGCGAGATTGACCTTACCTTTCTTTGACTTCTTGCTTTTCTTTTTCTTCTTTTGAGGGCACTTACGGGAAGTATATCCAAATCTACTACACTTGGTACATTTTTTCTTAACGGCACTTTTAACGGTGGAATTAATAGCATTTATGGTGGTACTATTTAGTGTCATGCCAGCCATACTGTCAGTAATATCATCCACAGGGTCATAATTATAATCATCTTCAGGTTGCTTATTTGATTTTGTCCTTAGTAGCTCACTTAAAAATCGTCTAATAATGTCTTCCCCTCTCTTATTGGCCAATTTTTTACTATTATCTAGAGTCTTAGTCACTCGAGACATAGTCTCCTGCAATGATTTAATAGAAGATTGTAAATCGGTGTTTTGTTGAGCTGTTTGAGGCTGTGAGGAAGCCATTGTGGTTTTTATCAAGTCCTCAATTTCATTTTTAGTCATCCCACCTCCTGATCTGTTAGTATCTATGTAAGGATTGGCCGATGGAAAAATTGGAAAAGAAGATGGCTCACTCTTTTGAGATAATGTATATTTTTCTGCTTCGGCCAGAGCTTTTGTAATATTATCCTGTGTATCATAAAATTTAGCCATCATTCTAATATTATATTGGTTCATAGTATTTAAGCCACGAATAAATTGCTCCCTTTGCTGTTCGGGAGTCATTTCAGCTAATTTACCAACCTTTTTGATTCAGGCAGAAAACTGCTCAACTGACATATCACCTTGCATGAGTTGACCAAAAACAGCCGTTTGTTTTAAATGTTCAACTGTCGTATAGGCAGTACTAAACAGGTAAAGGAGTTGACCAAGTTTAATGCCAGGAGCAATTGTAACAGCAGGTAAACCACCACCAGCGTTAGGTGCTACTGGTGCATTATCTACAGGTTCGCCACCAGCTATGGACCAGTCTTCATCCCAAGTACCATTTGGAATAATATCAGCACCAGTTGCAATACCTGCACCAATTCTACCAATTTCAGCGGCCGCTTTACCTTGAAATTCTCCAGCAGTATTCAAAGCTCCAATTTGTCCGCCACCATTTCCGGCAGCCAAACCTCTAACTGCAGTTAAAGTAGCTACTTCCAAATTGTCTGAGAGATTATTACATCTCCAATTTTTACCTTAACACAAGTATTGTACCAATTCAATGCATCGCCTGCAAGGCATGATACTACTAATCCAAATGCCTCTTCTCTTCCGGAGGTCTGACCTGCACCAGGTGCAACATTTATCTGACTAGCTATTATATATCTTTGCATGTCTTTAAGCCAATCTTCTGGATCTTTGCCAGGACGTCCATAAAATATTGGTGGTTCGTATCCAACTATTCCTATCTGTTGTATATTAAGTGGATTATTCTGAAGCGCTAAAATTTGTCCTTGCAAATTTAAATTATTCTGGCGTTCTGCTTGGGTCTTATTTTTCCATTTCTCATATCGCTCATATAACCTGTCTCGATTAAATTCTAATAGACCTATATTCCTTCTACTTAGCTGTAAGTGGTGGGCATTTCGCTGATACAATAATTGTAAGGCGAATTTTTCTTGTACCAGTACACCTATACGAGTTAGCTTTCTTGCTATATTACCTATCATTCTATTTACCTGGTTTTGAGCATTAGTCCGCAACTGATGGAGATCACCAATAACATTAACCATCCCACCTTCAGCAAGATCTCTTCGCGTAATAGCAAAATCTCGCTCACCTTCTGCATCATAGCGCCTTCTTTGCTCACAGACTAAATCCTGATGCAAATTATTCTCTTTTCAACGTATCTGCCTTGTCGCCCTTTTTATTTGGTCTATTAGAATATCTCTGTTCGTTGTCCTATTATTCAGATAACCATCTATAGCATTTGCTAACTCTGTGATTGTGGCCATATTATCATCAGAATTATACAAGTCCAGAGAATTACCTCTTTCTGGTGAATTTTTTCGTGATGAGATAGTCCTGATCCGGCATCGCAATTTCTCTACCTGCTCCTCGGAATCTACTAACAGACTCGTTATACTAGAAATATGTTTTTCATTATTACGAATATCCTTCTTAGCTTGATATAGTTGCTTTTTTAGGCTGGAGATTTTGGATTTTAGCTCTGCTATCTCCTTTTTCGAAGCATTCTCATGACATTCTATCTCACCGTTAAGAGTTTGATTTCTTGTTCACAATAGACACATTTACGTTCCAGCTCCCTGATCTGCTTTTCATTTTGGCAGTTACTATCAACTTCTGCTTGCAATTCACTACGAAGATGGTAGTTCTCCTCCTCCAGCTCAGCTTTATATTCTTCACATGTTCTTCTCTGCTTTGGATGGGCCTCCAAAATGCCATTCTTTTTTGTGATTGTAAAAGAGAATCAGAATGAGCCAACCACAAATCTTGATAGACCCTATTGAGGCTCAGAGAATTGAAAAAAATATCATATTGCGTGGAATATATTATCGCCCAACTGGCTATCATTCTAATCCCAAATCATTAAGAGATGCATGTAAAAAAGAGGGGCACCAATTCCGCCTAAGTGAATGTAAAATTATTTAGAAAATCAAGAGTCATACCAAATTAATAAAACCTCTCCAAAATACATCCCTAAAGTCAGCTATAGGCGAATAACACGTCCCAATTGCGTACATCAGTTCGATATACACATGATTGTTATAGAGGTAAAAAATATAAAGCAGTGCTTAATATAATAGACTGTGCCTCCAGATACAAAGCTTCAGTTCCACTTAGATCGAAGAAAAGTTCTGAGGTTGCTAAAGCATTTAGGAAAATATATGGGAATCGAAATAATCCATTGACATGGCCAAAACTTTTACAATGCGACAGAAGCTGTGAGTTTATGGGCAAGACTTCCCGACTAATGCAAGAGCACAATGTTATAATTCGTCGAGTAATTGGCCCATATAGACATACATCGAGAAAGTTTTTGGGGTGCAGAACTGCAGAGATCTGCGAAATTAGCAGATCTCTGCATTTTTTTGCACTTTTTTGACGCATTTCTGTGAAGTTCTGCGAATTTTGCAACTTCGCAGATAATTGAATATTTTTATCTATAAATCAGCAAAATTCTGCAATTTTGCAGATTTCTGCAGATTTATTAGAAAAATTCTGCGGTAATCTGCGATTTTGCAGATTTTTGCTTTTATTTTTCATTGAAATATCAGCAATTTTATCATTTTGATTAACTCTAATTAATTTAACACAATTGCCGGTTGGAGTAGAACCCCGAATAATACTAATATAACTCACAAATGATCGGCATGCATTTACTATGATATTAACTCTACACAACTTTTTTTTCATAGTAACACTATGCAAATCCAAATCTTAGTTCAAAAAAATTTTTGTTACTAATATAATTCGTTTCACATTTTTTCTATTAGTAAGATATTAATAAAATGGTGCGAAACTCTCCATTTTTTTGTTAAAATGGTGCGTTTTGCACTTTTTCTATTAAAATATTAATAAAATGGTGCGAAACTCCATTTTTTTATTAAAATGGTGCGTTTCGCACTTTTTCTATTAAAATATTAATAAAATGGTGCGAAACTCTCTATTTTTTTGTTAAAATGGTGTGTTTCGCACTTTTTCTATTAAAATATTAATAAAATGGTGCGAAACTCTCCATTTTTTGTTAAAATGGTGCGTTTGCACTTTTTTATATTAAAATATTAATTAAATGGTGCGAAACTCACCCATTATTTATTAAAATGGTGCATTTCACACTTTTTTTCTTAATAAAATGGTGCGAAATTCACCATTTTTTGTTAAAGTAGTGCATTTCGCACTTTTTTCCTATTAAAAAATATTAAAATAATGCGAAATGCATTACTTTTTGTTACTATATATCGGGGTCCTGTTGGAGTATATTTGTCAGTTCGTATTATTACAGTAATCATTACCAATCGGATATAAACCAGAAATCGATAAAGTTGATCAGACTAGTCAATTATGGTTTGTGTGCTGAATGATAATCTTTAGCTTTAAAAAAAGTTTTTTTAAAAAATTTATCTTTTCTAATATTTTTTTTAGGTATCAGCGAGACTCTTCGCTTTGGATTGGTAAGTTTTGAAAGTTTTTCTTTAAAAACTGTTTTTTTAAAAGATTTTTTTAAAATTTTTTTTATTTATTTTTTTAGGTATCAGTGAGACTATTCACGGTAAGTTTCAAAAGTTTCATTCTTTAAACTTTAGAAACTTTATTTTTTTAAAAAAAATTAATATTTTTTTTATTTATTTTTTTTAGGTATCGGCGCCCTTCACATAAGTTTCAAAAAGTTTCATTCTTAAAACTTTTGAAACTTTCGTTTTTTAAAAAAAAATTAATATTTTTTTTTATTTCTTTTTTTTAAGTATCGGTGAAACCCTTTCACGTAAGTTTCAAAAGTTTCATTTTTTTGAAACTTCGTTTTTTTTAAAAAAAAATTAATATTTTTTTTTATTTCTTTTTTTTAGGTATCGGCGAAACCCTTCATGTAAGTTTTGAAAGTTTCGTTTCGAAACTTCATTTTTTTTTAAAAAAATTTAATATTTTTTTTATTTTTTATTTTTTTAGGTATCGGCGAGACCCTTCACTTTGCATCGGTAAGTTTCAAGAGTTTCATTCTTTTGAAACTTTGATTTTTTTCTTTATTTGTAGGTATTGGTTGGGATCTTTAGAGTAGTAAGTTTTGAAAATTTTGTTCTTCTTTTCAAAACTCTATTATTTTTTTTTTTAAATTTTTTTCTTTATTTGTAGATATCGGTTGGCGAGGACATTTGGATGGTAAGTTTTGAAAAGAATCATATTCTTTTCAAAACTTCAAATTTTATTTTTTTTAACTTTATTTCTATATTTTGTAAGTATCAGTTGGGATTTTTGGATAGGTGAGTTTCGAAAAGTTTCGTTCCTTCTTTTCAAAACTTATTTTTTTTTCTTATCTTTATTTTTCTATTTTGTAGGTATCATCAGTTGGAAATTGGGATTTTTGAATAAGTGAGTTCGAAAAGTTTTGTTCGTTCTTTTCAAAACGTATTGGTTGAATAGATAAGTTTTGAAAAGTATCATTACTTTTCAAAACTTTAATTTTTTTTTTAATTTTCTTTCTTTATTTTGTAGGTATCGGTTGGAACCTTTGGAAACGAAACCTGTGGTAAGTTTCGAAAAGTTACATTACTTTTCAAAACTTCATTTTTTCTCAAAAAGTTTCATTACTTTTCGAAACTTTAATTTTTTTTTAATTTTTTCTCTTTATTTTGTAGGTATCGGTTGCAACCTTTGGAAACGAAACCTGTAGTAAGTTTCAAAAAGTTACATTAACTTTTCAAAACTTCAATTTTTTTCAATTTTTTTTCTATATTTTGTTGGTATCGGTTGTGACCTTTAGATAGGTGAGTTTTGAAAAGTTTCATTTCTTTTTGAAACTTCAATTTTTTTTAATTTTTTTTCTAATGAAACTTTACTAAGGTATTCTCTTTTTGTAGGTCTATAACTTTCTGGGTGTTTACTGAATGGAACTTAGAAGGTATTCTTCGAAGTTCTTTAAATTTTTATTTTTTTTAATAAAATTTTTTTTTTTAACGAAATTAATTTTTTTCTCTTTTTTTTGTAGCTTTGCAACTTTTTAGATGATATCTGAAGAGAATTTTGAAGGTATTCTTCAAAGTTCTTTAAATTTTGGATGAATACTTTAGATATATGCGCTGTCAACGTCATTAAAATACATTTGAAAGATGATTATATTTTAATAAGTTGGCATATATTGGGTTTTTTTTCTCAATTTTTATATTGTATTTTATTAATTTCAGTTAGTTATATTTGAAATTCTTTAACTTTATAAATTTATTTAGCTATATTCAATTTTGCAATTTTATTTGACAAATTTATTAGTAAATAAAAATACATAATAAAAAATACAATATATAATGACTGTGACGATTAGTAAATAATTTATTTTTTTGTGAATTATTGCAGAACTTCGTCCTTGAATTTTTTCACAGAATTTTGTTCTTGAATTTCTTGCAGAACTTAGTTCTTGAAATTCTTCGCAGATTTAATTTTGAAGATTTTCGCAGAACTTTATTTTCTTGAAATTCTGCGCAGTTTTTGATGAATTTTTTTTTCAAAGACTGCCGACAAGGTCGCAGATCTGCACAAAATGTCACCTGCAGATCTGCGCAAATCTGCACCCCAAAAAATTTCCTGATGTAGAGGACTTGCTTTTGTGGAACGTTTCAACCAAACACTCTCAAAAATTCTATACAAAATCCAGTATGCTATTAAATCAATAACTTCTGATCCTCGATTAATAAGAGCATGGGTTATATATATATATATATAGTAGATATATACCAGTAGTTATTGATTATCTAAATAATTATCCCATGCGCCTTATTCGAGAACCAGGATCAGAAAAGTGGGGATTCGAGCCAGTGAAAGCCATTGCTTTAGAGCGAGTCAAATCTAAACCATCCACAAAATATAAGCATCCAGTTGGAAAAGATGAAATAAAATTAAAGAAAGGGAATACTGTCCGCTACCTACTTGCCAATGCGGAATGGGAAAAAGGTATGGAAAGTCAGAAAAGGGTAACTGACCCTACATTCAGTCCAAGTCTTCATAAAATCCGAAAAGTGGTTATCATAAAGAATGAACCAGTTTTATATTATATCAATGGGGAATTTACACCATCTCGCGGATTTGTGAGAGAAGAACTTATATTAATTCCCAATCCAGAAAAAGTTGGGTATCCATCCCAAAGCATATTATCTGTGCATGTTGCCTATATCACTAATAAAGAGGTAGATCGGGCTATCGATTATGCCAGAAGACGTGGTAGTCAATGTCTAGGAAAGACCGGATGAATAAATGATCATAATATATATTTTTGGTCTTGTGAAATATCCACTAAAATATATCATGAAGAAGTTTGAATAGTGTTCTCTATGCCATCATAGAAGCGGTGAACGCAAGTGTCGATATATTTTTGAGGATCTACTAGGCAAGAAATTCCCACTATGTAGGGCTAAGTTCTTAGATGGGCTACACTTAGATGGATATAATAAGGAATTGTGTCTTGCATTCGAATTCCAAGGTCCTCAACACTATCATCACAATAGTTTCTATCACTGGGAGAATGAAAATCTAAAATCACAAAATATGCGTGATCAGAAAAAGCGGGATATTTGCAAGAAGCAAGATATATGCCTTATCGAAGTTCCCTATACAGCTGATCTCCTGTCCTATATCAGACATATTCTAATCGAGAAAGGGTTCTTGAAAGAGGCGAAGGAATAAAAAGTGACCTTTTTTAGTATATTATTATTAATAGTTAGCTTAGCATGAAAATAAAAAAACTTGAGCCAGTTGATAGGCTTGTATATCATATTAATGAGATTAAAGATGCCAAAAAATATAATGGACATTCGAGTGTTCCCCAATGGCCTTTCACTTTGCTAATCTGTGGCCGTACCAATTCAGGAAAAACTAATGAGGTTCTTAATCTCATGCTCGGAAATAAGCTTTATCAGATACTTAATGGGAAGAAAGGAGGGACACGCTATATCAAGTGTGATGATTTGCTACTCATCGGCCACAATCTTAAGGAGCCAAAATATATATACCTTAAATCAGCATATCAGATAATTGCAAATAGTTCAAAGCCATATCGTGAAAATATTTCATTCCTGGCTATGAAGCCTGATAAAATCCCTAAGATGGATTCATTTTCTCTGGATAGAGCTACAGTACCTATATTTGAAGATGTATGTGCTGATCTGAAAAAAGTGCAGGAGAAAATCGTCCCTTATTTTGTTGAGGGACACCATTATAACATCAGTTCGATATATGTATCCCAGAGTTACTTTGACTGCCCAAAAATAATACGAAAAAATCTCTCACACGTCTGCCTATTCAATAGGTCATGCACTATGGATGAGCTAGTCTGAATTGTGCGCCAATATGCTAATGACTGGCGTAGTGTGATTAAGATTATTGACAAGGCTTTATGTGAACATAAATTCATTGTTTTTGATTTAACTGTACCTCGCGAACATCCGCACAGGATACAGCTAGGATGGGATCAAATTCTCACTAATGAATAGAATTTTCTTAGGTACTAAGGACGAAATGTATATTTTTTCCTGGTTTCTAGATCATGTTTAGATTCACTATGCCTCTTTGCCCATAAATTCCTTTCATAAGTGCTGGAATATATTTTTGGCTCTATAGTTATATCACTATGCTTCGTATTGGAAAGGATCTGATCAACAAGAGAGACAATTTTTCTATCCTTAGCAGAAATAATATCCTCCAGATGCCGGCATTTATTCTCTAATACATCAATAGACTTTTCTGCTGATGCAATGGCCTTTTTCGTATTAGGAATTATACTTTTGAAAAAAGCTACCGAATCTGATAATTGGACAACTTTCTCACCACTCTCTTCCAAAGACCTGGTCATAGCTACCTCACGAGACTTATACTGCTCTTGCAATTCGAGAAACTCTTCAATCTTTTTTCCAATACCTGCTTTGATATACACAATTCCTCATTTTCTTGCCTTAGCAAAGTTTCACAGTCGCTAGTAATAGGCTTCATCTTCTGACGCTCTTTTTGCTTAATATAATTTCCAACCGCCTTATTTAACAAATCTTCCACTTCGGGATGAATACTACTTGCCTGTTCCATAGATAATGGATGTTTTCGTGAAGTAAGACGTCGCCATACATCTATTTTGATGGAACAAGGGAGCTGGTTAAGTTGCTTTAAGTAATATACGTGAAAAGATGGTGTTAGTATACCAGTCATTTCTTATAGATAATAAAAAATTTTGAGAATTTTATAGATTCAGAAATTTTATTAAGAAAAATTTTGAGAATTTTACAAGAAAAAAAAAATACAGATGAATATGTAAAATTAATCGGCCACCAGGGCACTTTATTGATATAGGAAAAATATACAATGTTTCTATGAAAGAATAGGCTCATCTATAATTTCGCAACACCTGCCAGTAGTATCCCGAAATCTGGCACTCAGTCAAGTTAGTTAGATATCATGATTACTGTTCCATCCCTCAATCTCAACGCAGTGCCTTTTGGCTGTTTTGCATACCGAGACGAGATAAATAGTATGTTTGGAGTTGACGAGTGTGGCTCATCCCTTACAGAATCCTGGTACTTATTAAGAGAAGGTCGTAGTTTATTACAGTAAACACCTATCGGATCATTTTCCTTAAATTTATCAAAAGCTTGTTGCTTAACCCTTGCACGTCCAAGATCACTTAAAGGATCGGAACATTCTTGGTCCCAATGTCTCTGCATCATATCCTTAACTTCAATCAATTCAATAAATTTATGCCATACATGGTGGTATGATTTGGTTGGCTTTATTTCATTAACTTGAAATGGTTTCCAGCAACGAAAGCAGATTGCCAAATTATTTTTGTGAATTTTGGAACGATAGTATTCATGATATGATTTATCAAACTCAACTTCACCATATCCTGCAAACAAGCAGAAGGTATGGTATATGCTATATTCTTTTTGGGACAATAAAGATTGAAGGGTAGTTTTAACTCGTAATTCCCACTGTATTGGAGACTCCTCTTTTCTCATTATTAATAGGCTGTCATAGAGTTTTTCATTATCAAGGAATTTTTTGATATTCATGTTACCAAAGTAATTCCCGAGATATACTCTATAATATTCCATATCATATCCAGGACGGTTACTAACAGGCTTAGGTAGTCGCCATTCTTTTTTGTCAATAATCATTTTGACACCAATAGCGCTTTCTAAGGTAATAACTGACATAATTAGCAAAATATACTGATTTTATTGATTTATAGTGTTTTTAGCAAATTTTAGCTGATTTAGCAATATTATACTCTAATAAATATCAGATTCATTTTTATTCGATTGGAATTTATATAGGGTCATCTCTCAGGCTAAGCTAATTTTATATATGTACAGCGATGCATAAATTATGCAGGTAATACATTTCACAACTCATTAGGCGACCATACATGCAGATTTATATAGCTATCATTTCACAAAAAAAGTATGTTATGTTGGCTAAATATAGTTGAGAAGAATAATATTAATGTTCAGTCAAGTCTATCTCCTTGCATTTTTCGCACAGAAGCCCAGTACTCATCAACATCAATGAAGCTAGGCACGTTTCTGTCTGATACGCCTAATCCTTCTTGAAATATTTTCTAATCATAAAGTATAACTATATAGTTTATTTTCAGCATAGATGCCGAATTTATCTTTAATATAATTATTATCAGTTATAATAGTGTATGGTTCTCTGCGCCTAAATTTACCAAATTGATTCATTTGCAAATCATATTGATGGAATGCCACCCATTTGTCCAAAAGGATCAGCTGTTTTATTTCCATATATTCTTCGAAATTTAATTTGCAAAACTTATTTCCGGTACAAGCTGTGGCCCAATGTTAATATATACCCCAATGTTCTCCATTAAAGCTAATATTTCTGAATCTCTCAGTTATGAACTTACCCTCCAATCCGTTATAAACAGATCTTTCACCAACTGACAAGTGTTCTATTCCAAGATACACCAGTTTATTGCATGAGTAGCAGATAGCCATTCCACATTTCGGGAATAATTTTTGTCCATCAACAGGCAAAGCTTTGCGAGCACAGAAATAATCTTTCTCACCATATGTACAGTATTTTTTATTTCGAAAATACATTAGGCGATCCCAAATCCTATTTCTCCATTCAGATGGTGTTTCACCATCCATCATAAAGCGCAAACCAATATATTCGACATGCTCCTCATAAGTACCCTCAAAACCATCGCCTAATGGAGATTTAATCACACTTATCTTATTAATACACTTGAATATGCACAATAAATAAGACTTATATCAAATTATAGCGATTTTATTGTTTTATAGCTGATTTAGCACTAGTATACTCTAATAAACATATGCGCGGATCTTAACTCTAACCCCAATTTTTAAGATGTAACCCCAAATGACGGTCATGTTAAATTGGATATGGTAACACTACATCAAACCATTTTATTGGTCGATCTAATCTGTAACACAAATTTTATGCAAAAAAAAAAAATTCACGAAACTTTGTAAAATAATTACGCAGTTTAAAAAATTATTCCTAGCTTCTAATTTGCAAATGTCTGACACACAAGAAATTCATAATTACCCCTTTGACTCAATTATTAATTTTAAAAAATCAGGACATAGTTTTTCATATAAAATTATAAAAGAAGGAACGTATCCTAATAAATCTTTATTAGCGTACACTCTTCCTCCTAATAAATATCGAATCCCTGATGATTATATGGTAGAAACAACTTGGGGTAGAAGTAATAATCGATGTGTTGTTCAGTGTTTTATTAATTACATTGATAATAAACCAGTTTTTCAAATCTGGTTTGGAAAGTGTTTTGAACATGTAGTATCTTCAGTTAGAAGTGCGACGGATGTTACAAATTTATTTCATAAAGTTTGTACACTAAATTATTTTTTTTTAGTTTTTCTATTTTTTTCTATTTATAAATTAACTTTAAAATATTTATTTCAGGAATATACATCTTTAAAAAAAACAAAAACATCAGGAATTTATTTGTTTGGTCTTCATCTCAAAACATTAGAAATGGCAAGAGAAGGCAAGCGACGTGCACATATATTAAAACCAATTGACCAATGTAGAAATTCCACCCTTACAAAACGTGCTATGAGTATTGGAAAACATATATTAGCTGAATTCAACGAAAAAACACAGAAGCTATATAATTTGGAAGACGTACCAGCATTGGAAAGTATATGTTATTCTGTTAATAAAAAACATACTTTTAATATCAGTTACGAGAATGAAGATAAAACTAAAAAAAAACAAAAACTTGAATCAATAGTTAGAGCATTAGATGAAGGCAATATTCCAAGAGATTCTTATAGACGTCTATATGCTATAGAATATAACCTACCACGTGAAGGAGAAATATCTAAAGAACGTATAAATATAAATGAAATAATGGTCCAGCTCATACCAATAACAATAGTAGATATAAATACTAAAAGTCAAGTGGATGAATCCGAAGGAGTAGATATAGATGATGAATCTATAACACAAGAAGTAATTAATGCAGTTGGTAAAGATGGCTATAGAAATATTAATAATATATTGTATTATTTGGTTCCTAACCTTGTTCAAAAAGGCATCTTGAATCCAGATCAGCCCATAATTAATCTTCAAATCTCTGGAGATGGGCGAAACGTAGGAAGGAAAGTAAAACATGTAATCATCACAGTGGCTATTTTAGATGATAAAAATACTTCACACAAACCAGATCATCATTATACGACCATACTCTATCCTGGATGTGAAGATTACAACTCTCTATCAAATGCAATGACCCAATTCTGCCATGATCTAAGAAATTTAAAAGAAGGACTGGTAATTGATAATGTAAAGTGGAATTTTCAATTTTATTTTTCGTCTGACTGGAAGTTCTTAGCAATCTGTTTGGGTTTTAATAGCGCTCATAGAAAAAATTTCTGCCCTTAGTGTACAATTGATAAATCACAACAAGGAGATCTATCAAAAGAATGGAAGATTAATAAAGAAATAGATAAGTTAGTTGAACAAAATAATTACTATAAAGGACATATAAGAAAACCACTTTTTGATATGATACCTCTTAATCACTGGGTTCCTGATGAATTGCACATTATGCTTAGAATTACTGATCGTTTATGGAGTCTTGTGATAGCAGAATTAACAGAATATGGTTTGTTTAATGATACTGCACGAAAGATAATTGTAGAGGAAATGAAAAGAATTAAAGTTAAGTTTCAATTCTGGCAAATTCAAGAATCTAAAACTTGGAGCTACACATCATTAATGGGAAATGATAAGATCAAAGTATTACAATTCTTTGATTTATCAAAAATTCTTTCAAGACAACGCGCTAATATGATACAAAATCTATGGAATAAATTTTATGAACTCTACATAAAAATGAAGGACCAAAAAACAAATGCTGAAGAATTTCAAAATGATGCAAAGAATTGGCTTACTTTATTCTTAACGCCATCTGAAGGTATTCCAAATACTCAAGGATTCAAAAAAGGTCTTTATAAACCTAATGATATGACACCTTACATTCATGTGTTAGTACATCACGTTTCTGAATTTATGACAATTCATCAAAAATGGGGATTAAAGTCATTTTCATGTAGTGCAGTGGAAAAAAAAAATCATCAGCAAGTTTCTTATTTTTTTCGTAAAACAATGAAAGATGGAGGTAGAAAATCCAAGTCATCAGCAATTATTGAGATCTTAGAACATGAAAATCGATCTCTTTTTTACAATTACCATAATGTTTCCTTAAACTCTCAAAAACCTAATAAAATTCATATTAAAGCTGAAAATAATTAGAATGAAAATGCTTAATATACTTTGATACTGTTTTTTTCGTGATCAAATAATCTATTTTATTCAATCATAGCCTGGCTATTGTAAAAATGAAAATAAATGTGACCTGCGTGAGTGAAATTACCATTAAAATCAGTATTTTTTTGTTTTTTCCATTCTACTACTAATTGACCACGTACGCATTTTGGTTTGCGTAATTTTTTAATTGTTTCATAAGTTAATGCAGCTGTAATAGGATTTTCGTCCCCATCTTCAATATTATTGTCATCATCACAAAGTACAACATAAGTACATTGCAGTTGATCGTAAAATTTAGTCTCCCAACCTTCCATCTCTAGAATATTTGCTAATATTTGATTTGATGAACCTCCACGAAATATACACTTGTAAATACCCTTTGTAGCAGAGTAGTAGTAATGTATATAGTTTTTAAATACTGCATAAAACTGACTTTCAGTAGCGGGAATAGAAACTGTTTGTTTTCCTAATTGCCTATATCCTTTTGGTAATCTTTTGCGAATATAGTGAACTAAGATGGCTTTAAATTGGTGTACGGTATTATCAGGTAAAGCATCAATATCTGGAAGTAAAGAGTTGTATTTTATAATAGTATTTAAATGTCTAGTCAATCCCCACTTTTATTAAACAGTTTCCCGCATATATTACATTCAAATTTTGAATCATTAGTTGTTGGAGTTGTTATTTGAGTTGTTGTTGAAGGTGGAAGAGAACCGGTAGAAACTACAGCTTGATTCATATTACCATACCTAAAATATAAAAAAAAACACTTTATTAATTAAAAATATTAAACACTGTTGTAAACTTTATTCAAATTAATATGCGAAATTTACAAATAACAAAAATTTTACAAGCAAACTACTTTTGAATTACTAAATGTAGTTTAAATAAAGTTAAAAAATATTTTTTTGTATATAGAAATAGAATAGTACACTCAACATAATTTACCTTTGAAGAAGATTGGTTTCGTAGGGAGGAGATTGGTTTGACGCGATAGTTACTATTAAATTTTTTTTTTTTAGGGTTTTTCGGTGAGAGAGTCTAACGCTTGACATATGATTGTTGTGTAACATTTACGATGGTCACATGCAATTTTAATAGTAATTTGGGGCCTTAATTTTGGTCCAATTCCGATAATAAGCCGATATGATATAAGATTCATTTTTATTCGATTGTTCGAGTGAAAATAGATATGATGTCATGATTCAGTTAAATTAAACCTGATCACCATGGACGGCTAAACTATAAAATTTGTATCACATGAGATCTCCACCAGTTCCACGACAGTTCCACGACACTTCCCTGGCACTTTCATGGCGCTGAGTGGTTTCGATAAATCACGAAATGATCGGCCAATCAGATTTTGCGCAGTATCTAAGCCACCATTAAACGCGCTTTTAATGAATATCTTGTTTGAGAGTATTTATGTTATCTCAAAGATCAAGGGGGGCACAAAACACTCACGAAACAAAGTAAAGCTCTTTATTATATTTTTCAAAGTACATTCATGGTATAATAGCACAGTATAGAAAAAATACACTAATTAATGGAACAATAACAGTATTGTGCGGGAGAGCCTAGCAAAGCACCATAATGGCTAATGTAGTTATTGTATATTACCCCTCACATTTGACGATTCTTGGGCAGTGGCAATATCATAAGATGGTGGTAGATGAAGTGATAAGGACAGTTCTTCATGCGTGGAAGTTCTTCTCTGGCCAACCAACTGCTTTGTATCGGAAATATCCATTTCATCGTTGGTGGTTAACGAGCTAACAGGCAGAATTACTGAGTGTCTTCGTCTAACGGGTGGCGATTGTCTTCGACTTCTTCGTCCAATAGATGGTGATTGACTTTGACTAATAGATGGACTTCGACTTAATCGTCTTTTGGAAGATCTCAATTCGCGTTCAACTTCTCTGGTAGACGGTATAGGCATAATATTTCCACTTCCTCTACTTCATCTTTGGTTAAAAGTATTAATACTGCGGACCCTATCAAATTCATCCTCAGGTCTCTCCCAAAAATGTGTACGAAATTCATCAAAATATTGTACACCCAGCCGACTTCTACTAGATTTACGACCAGACATAAAATCACACATAGCCTAACAATAATATGATCAATGTTAGAACTGGACACGTAGTGACCACATATAGGAGGGGACAGGTGGATTTATCCACCACATAGTTCTCAATACAGTGATAACTTACATTATAATCCCAGACAAGATTCGAGAATTTTTCTTTACATTGGTGGCCGTTGAATGATGTCCCATTCTCTTGATTGATTTTATCAGCAATACTATTCCAGAAGATTTTCTGATTCCTTCCAAGGTTATGAAACTCATCGTTTCTGGTTCTACGTTCGTCAATAAGAGTACGAATTTGTGGATCAGTCCATTCAGCCATTTTTTCAACAACAGAATTTTTTTTGAGATGGGGTGTTGGACGTGAGCATGAATCATAGGTTGTTTATATAGTCTGCCTTTAGCGCTTTCAGCAGATCATTGTTAAATAAAAGGGGGTTTTCATTTGGTATAACTGGAGATCAACTGCACATCAACTGTACATCAACAATAGTTCAACCAGAGTTCAACCAGACTTCACATTTTTCGTTTTTGTTCCACTATTTATAGCTTCCTTTACATATCAATCTGCGGAAGATAACATATCAAACTTGTTTGCCCTGGTACCTTTTCTACTCTCGAATAAATATGAGAAAAAAGTGTGGTTAATGAGAGTTTACTTTCTGAAGCGCAGTCTCAACCCGACTTCAACCAGACTTCAACCAGACTTCAAACCAATAATATTTATTCACAAGTAATTACGTACCTGGACCCCTTATTTCGTCATTGTACTAATCCCAATATGTTAAATAAAAATGTACCGTTTGTCTGAAGATCTGCGAAGCGCCTAGCAAAGCGCCTTAATGGCAGATTAATAATTATGTTAAATCGAAATCTTATGAATTACGGCTTCAGGTATTGTCAAAAATTATACTAATAAAGAAAGGTGGTGTTTATCCATCCCATCATTGTGCTAATCCCAATAAACTAATTAAATAATGTAGATCTGCAAATGGCTGATTCAAATCAATCCACAAATGGAAATCATGCCAGAACTTTCGAGCAAAAAAAACATGATAGGTAAAATTATGCCAGAACTTTCCGGAAAAGTGAATATCATTACCGGATTAATTATTTATTGATCCCAGTTCTAAAAGACCCACGATCTACTTCCCCATAGATTTGCAATAATATAACGGTATTTCATGAGATTTTGACCCTGGCTTCATTGTTACAAAAATAGCATATATTAACCATTATTACGAAAATAGCACATCTAGACCTAAAAATAGGAGCACTGCAGAAACATATAAATTTTTCGTTCAGCCCTTACTGCGCATGATATATGCTTGGCTAAGCCACCCACGTGATTCGAAAAAAAAGAAATATACCGATTTCGCATAATTCAGTAAATGTGAGTAATTGATTCGCCCAATAATTCGGTTACCAGAGAGATAATAGAACTCATTATTGGAAAGGTTTTTCTTTCGTATCTTCCGTCACGATAATAATAACCTCTATCACATTCACCATATTCATTTCTTCCACGCGACGCTTCTTAAATGTGGGTTTGTCACTGACATCTAAATCCTCTTCACTTTCTTGCGCAATTCGGTTGGATTCTCGAGAGTGTTTTCTGTCAATACTCAGTCCTGCTCGTACTATAGGTGCTCTTGGTGTTGTAAAGTACCAGTACTGACTATACCATAGACATAATCATAGTCAGCATCGAATGCCTCGTCAGCCTTTCGATTTCCCTTAATCATATTTTTAAAAGTTCATCTGAAAGAGCATGAGCAAATTTATCTCTGATTGGATTACCAGACACAAGCTATAATTGGTTGATAGTCACATGATTTATCTTGCCTTACAAATTTTACGTTATTTTTTATTAACAGCAGAAGTAATTACATAGTTATAATAAATAATACTAATAAAACTTGTGATTTGTAACAAAAAAACATGATATAGGTAGTATTTTACAATATGCTCTCACGTTAAAACTTTGTCTATAAGGCAACCTTTCAAACTGAAGCCTCCTTGCTCAAAATGATAAAACAGCAATAGAAGAATGTTTTGGAAAAGTTCTGGTAGCAAACAGGTTGTTTTTATTAAACACAAAACTATTAACTTCCTATCCCATTAAATATTAGTATTATATGCTCTATAGCTAAAACCTTCAAACACTGGATCAGACTGGATCAGGGAAAAGTAAACGAAAGTAAACATGCTAGAGAAAGGTTTTGTCGATACTAAAAATTAGTGTTACTATATAACCGATATATATTGTACTGTAAATTTAATATAAATAATTGTGTAACCATCAGGGTCAAATTGAATTTCGCTCATGCTATCTGAAAGTTGGTAAAATGATAAGTGACACATATACGTCATTATAGGTCTATTATAAAGCTGACCAATTAATATAAGTGTAACATAAGATTTCCCTTCTAATAATTACGTCATATGTATCACGCATGTAATCAAAACACTTTCACGTGAAAACGCGTACATCCACGTGACTTCTTATATTTTAATTTAAGTGTCGCGAAAAAAAAATTTTAAAACATATTTCTTTAACATGAACGATTATTTTAAAAAGCAAAACCCATCTTCTTTTTCATTTTTAAATTTTTTATGTTTTAAATTATTATATGAGAATGAGAGACCGAGTTGGAAATCGAAGAAAGAAGAGTTTGAGTTGTATTGTCGAAATTTAAATCTTTACCTTCGGGACCAAGTTGTTAATGAAGATTTAAGAGAAAAATGGAGTGAACTCATTGAATCTCAGGTATGGTATCTCTTTTGGGATCCTAGTACAGCTTGCTTTACTCGTGATCCCAAGAGGATCCTAGTACAGCTTGCTTTGCTTGTGGTCCCAGGTATTTGGTTGTCGAATTTGATTGTAGTATCTCTTTTGGGATCCTAGTATGGCTTGCTTTGCTCGTGATCCCGAGGGGATCCTAGTACGGCTTGCTTTGCTTGTGGTCCCTTAAAATTCTCTTGATGTAAGTTTCTTCTCTTAATAATCACCAGGAAGAGAAAGACTCTCAAGAAGTTCAGACGTTATGGAAGGGTGTGATGAGCAATACCGGCGGAATAACCTTTTACTACTTCATGGATGATCTCAAAAAAGATTTGGAACATAATATGGAAACTGTCTTAGATGAAGGTTACTACATTTTTAGTATTTAAACAGTTTTATTCAGCATGGGCAATGCCAACCTTATTCATTCCGTAATACTAGATCCTCAAGAACTTCAAGATCTAAAAGACCCTCTAAATCAACCATTTTACGGAACAAACAAAAAGAAAAGGAAGAACTAGATAATCAAATTCTACTCCAAGAAGTAAAAGATCGATATGAAACTTTAGCTGTAAGTGCTCCTCAAAAGTTCATATGCTTATCATCATTTATCCACTTTTTGTTATCTTTTTTTTAGAGTGAATCTACTTATGAAATTATATGCAGAATCTCAGAAAAAATGAAATCTATTGACCTTGCCAAGCTCTCGTTTAATAACCCGTTACTCTCATTTATATTGGACCTGGATCGAATTGATCCTATTATTAATGATTTGATACCAAAATCTTTACTGGAAGAAGCAAGCCAATATGAAAATGTTCGAAATTGGAAGGGTTTTACGACAGAATTCATAAAGTGGATCGATAACTTATTAAATGGTTAGGAACCTCAAACTCTAGAAAGACAGTAAGAAGAGTGCGAATACATCAAAATTATGTACCAATCCTTGTATGTATCAATTCGCTAAATTATTTTCACTTTTTATGTCATTGATCATATATGTATGTAAATCAATTTACAGAAAAGAAGTGTGGGACCGTGGTCGATATCAAAATAAGCTAAAAGATGATTGTTCGATCCTTGAAGACACACATATTCACGAGATTATGCATAATATTTTATACAATACAATTAAAGTTTCAAACGGAAAGATTGCAATAGACTGGTAATATAATTAATGAAATATGTTATGAGTATAATGGTGAATATGTAATTAATGAGAATTATATGTTACTAAAATTTATTCATAAGGACTCGAAAGACTTCAGAGGAGAGAAATGAAAAAGTCGACTTAGACTATGACATATGGTTAAGTCAAATGAAGGCAACTGAAACAAACTACATTCCAATCACGAAACATCCCAGACTGGATAGCACAGTATCGTATTGGTGATTTTTTGTATGAGTTTTTGTATGGTGAGGCCGCCAGTCCACCATATCAATCTACTACTGTTCGAACCGAAGGCAATCGTTGGAAATTAATTCATTTTATGTCTCGAAGTGTACGACGAGCAAAAGAAAAACTTGTCTCCCAATTTTCCAATATTGCCGATGGCGATCTAATGGATGATGTTCGAAATATACCCCGTTTTGGAATGTTGCTATATGGTAATAACTTTTAATTGATCATTCGCTATCATAATTAGTATTATGCTTATTACAATTACCATTACAATAATAATAGGGACCAATCTAAAAATTTTATACTATGACAAATCAAAGTACAGGTTTGGAGTAATCACCACATTGATGAACATACAATTACCACTTCATTCTCAAGTCGATAAAAATCTTGTGAAAAACTATTTGATCGGTTTGGTAATTTTTCGACGTGGAATTCTTGGAGCGATCGAAGGAATGAAAAAATTATCTGAGAGATGTAATAATCATATGATCGCACAGCAGAACAATTTGTACATTATTTGTAATGATGACGATGAAAAAGAGGATATTTATCCTTCGCCACAAAGAATGAAAAGGGTGAAACTTAATAATGCTATATATTAGTTTTAATAGTAAAAACAGTGAAACTTATTTTAATAGTAAATAAATAATATCTTCCTGTAAATTAGCATAAACATTGTGAAATATTGATTGCCAAATAAAGTCGTATTGTTTTATTTAGTAGCGTGGTGTAACATGCAAAAAAATCACACAAATATCGATCGTAGAGTTACATATATTATAAGAAGACTTGATTATAGGATATCAAAACTTTTGGATGCTAGATAAACAAACTCCTTAATTTTTCGTATCCTTTCTGGAATGACAATTTCCGGGTTTTGGTCATACCATATCTCAATAAGAAAAATTCCACTATCCAGACAAATGCACCTTTTTTGCCGATCACGATTAACAATATCTTCGAGTTTCTTAACATCTTTATACCAGCTAGTACTATAAAGCCGATGCTGAGCCCCTTGCACCTCTAATGCGATTCGATATTTTTGGAAGAAAGCATCAAGCTCTAATCCATTCAGGAAAGGAGGGCGATATTCGATAATAGGTTCCTCATTAAGAATTTCCTTAGCTATCTGGATGCATCTGGTCTGGAATTTGTGATTTTTCTTGGATTCCAGTTCCTTTTCATATTCTTCTATAATTGATTTATTCCTTACATTCTGGGCCTTGATATCACGAATTAAAGCCTCAATACTCTCAAGATTGTCTGGGTTTTGCGAACTAAGATGTTTTAATTTTACTATATAACCCTCAAATTCTGTGTAATATTTTTTGGTAGATTTTAGAAATTCGACTTTTTTGGCTTCAAACTCATCTTTCTTAGCCTTAAGCTCAGCCTCAAGTTCAGTGGCACGCTGTCTCAATGCTTTAAGCTCTGCATTCTCAGCCTCAAGTTCAGTAGCATGCTGTCTCAATGCTTCAAGCTCAGATGTGTTAGCTTCATTAACTGACATGATCAATAATAATTTTATATATGAAAGGAATTGTTCAATGTTCTGAAAATCACATTTTTTCCCTTACCCGAAGTAAACAAAATTTCTTGGCAAAGAAAAATTTTTTATTAATACATGCGAAAAAATAAATACAAGTTTGGGACTGCCCTGTGATACATGACGTCTATCTAATATACATGATTATTTTTTCTTGATTATTTCTTCTACACGACGCTTCTTAGTTGCGGGTTTCTCACTACCTACTGCTCTATCCTTTAATAAACCTACTATAACCTCTAAAACCCTCTTCACATTCTTACGCAATTCTGTATCATCTTTGAGAGTGTCTTCTGTTAGTGAAATTCGGTATTCAGTCCTGCTCGTACTATAGATACCATCAGTGCTGTGAAGAATGAAGTACCAGTCAGTTCCAGTACTGACTATACCATAGACGTAGTCGTAGTCGGGATCGAATGCATCATCCACCTTTCTTTTTTTCTTGTTCATATTTATATTCATCTGAGGAAAATAGAGAAGTAAGTTAGCAATAGCCCATGATCATCCTATAGCAAGCGAGCTAGTAGAATATGTAATACTTACATCGCAAGCACTTCGGCATTGTAGTAAGTTTTGGCAGATACATATAGTTACTTGATTCTGTTTGCCTTCGGTTATGCAAATTATTTCCTCCAGCATCTCGCTGATAATTTTTTTGATGGCATAGTCGACACGGCCTGTGTTTTCTTCACCAATTATATTTGTCTGAGGTGTGATTACCAAGTCGCCGAGAATACTTACAGCCGTATGTAAGATCGTTGAAATATACTCGCACCGCATAGCTTCGTTACTATCTACAACTGGTCCCATATTTTTTATTCCACGAAGAATATCGTCAATGCATAGCTTAAATTCGGGGGCGCTTTCGTTGATGTTGTGGGTGGCTATATTATGATATGTGAGCTCCAAATATATAAAAAAAACCCTTTAATCTGATATTACTTACATGGTATGAACTGTGGAATGCGAGTTATATCCCTGCTAACAATCCCATATTTCTCCAGCACCTCACCCAACTCTTTCTTAGTCTTGTACGAGGGAAACGACCTCAACTTTTTATCTTTACACTCCTTAGCGAACTTTACGAGTCTCATAGCAGGTCCCAAGTCTAAGCCAACACTGCGAAGCCTTTCTTCAGTCAAGTCAAACAAGTCCCCGCCATTAAGCTCTTCCTTCTCTAAAATTTTGATAGCCGTTTTACTAAGCTCCAAGTTTTTCTGCCCCTGCAAATATTCTATAAGTTTGGCCGTATCATATTTTTTAATTTTGTCCGCCAATGAGACCGTCTCATTTCCAGCAACAGAGATAGAGGTGGAAGCTGGAGTATAAGGTGTACTGGTTTCAGAAGACATAGTGTTACGTTTTTATAGGGATATTTGGCTCAGACAAAAAATAGTGTTACTTTCCGGAGTAAGATAAAAATTTATTTCTGTTCGGGAAATAAAATACTGGGCGTTAATATAGGTTTTTATGTAGCACAGGCATTGCATCATCACACGTGACCTTTTCTCATATACGTTCGATAAAATAATACTTTATTTATGAAATAAAATAGTTGCCAGAACCCGGCCTACAATACATAAAAATTGTGACTATAGCGCTACATGACACTAAAATTATGGAAAATATACGGTGACATGGAAGTGACCCGCTCGAGGTTGAAATTGATTATTAAAAAAATCAGAAATATAGGCTTGAGAGTTCATTGGTCTTTCGCTAACTGTTCCGGGATGGATCTGATGAATACTTAGAGAAAGATTAGAAAATTGTACCTCCAACAGGCCTAACTGGCTTAACTGATTACGAATTGCAATTTCAAGTCTGCCAACCGTTTGACCTGTGTTGATTGTAATTGCTTGAGCTACTTGGTTGCTTGAAAGATCAAAGAGGTTCCCTATGGGAACGATAAGACAATTGAGAGTGATATCAATACCATCCCTATCATTGTTATCGATCATTGTGTAGCGAATTTCCTAAATTTAAGAGCCCATAGTAAGTATTTTTTATGTCGCACTTCGCTCCTATACATAACTTCTATCACATACGCACCTTAAAATTTTTTGCGAAAAGTTGGCTGAACTTCCACATACTCCTACATGCTTTATATCTTGCTGGGAAAAAGAGCGCCAAGCTGAAGTTAAGGAGATAAGAATAGTGATTAGCATTGTCGTATGATACCAAGAGTTCTATGAAGGCACATGTAAATGGAATCTTCATACCTTTTCACATGGGAATCTACCAGAGAGACGCAAAGGTAGTTAGTTCTTGTAGATCTCGAAATTCCAAAGTCCTCAGCCTTTCATAACATATGCTTTTGCCGTCAGTATTTACTTTTAGAGTTGGTCCTGTGTTGCAACTAGACCTCCTTTCACATTTTCTCACATTTGTTTGGGAAAAAAATATAGGTACTGGTTAGTATGTTTTCTTTTTCGAATATATATGCAAAAATTAATATATCGCACAAGACCTGACTGATGATCCACTTATTTTTCTGTCACACAGGAGTGACCCAGCAAATTCTTCCGAGCTGGTGATTACTGCTCCAGACTAGATAGATTGGTATTGTACCACCCCGCCATAGAGGATCTTGTTAATTCTAGATTAAGAAAAGCAGAAATAATATTATTATTAGAGAATCCAGATTGGGTCGAAATCTGAACATTGCTAACCTGACTAAGATAATCACTAAATGCGGTAATTAGATCGGGCACATTTTCCTTTTCAGCTTGAATAAGCATTTCTACCATTTTATCAGGATCAAGATCGTGATTATAATAACATCCAAATCTTGCGATATACCTTTGACTTTCTGATGATAATCCTTTATGGAATAATTCTCTAAGATGATTTTTACAGAGCTTGATAACATCGTTACATCTCTTTATCTTCGAGTAATAATCCACTATTGAGTCTTCATCTTGAAGCAATAACCCACACCAGAACTTATCAACCTCATCTGCATTATTTTCTACCTTGATCTCATCTGTATCTTTACCATCCGGCCATATTTCCCATCGAAGTTCCTTGGCACTATACGGTAATTCTATTAGGCTTAAAATTTGTGGGAGGTAAAAAGCATTAGATTGTATGAATACATGGAATAATGATGCTGGATTTCTTATGCCGGGCAGACTATATACAAATTTCTTAAGTATTTTTTCTCTCCAATGCCTAATTGCCTTTGTCTTCTAATAGATTTTGATTTCGCAAAAAAGATCTTCCCAGTCTTCCCACTCTGGTATAAATTCAGGATTCCCTTCATTATCCCATTCATATCTCGATCCATATTCTTCAATAAATTCATTGTAGCCTTCATCTGTCTTGTCATCTGACATTTTGCTAATAGAGCAATTATACTTAATAAAAAATAAAGTACTGGTAGCGTATATAGCTTCTTTTCAGTATATGCGAAAATTATGTTGCACATGACCTGACTGATGATTAAGGTTGCTTGCCGAAACCTAGGGGTTTAGGCAAGATGGCGTTTCGCCGAAAAGTGAAATTCTGCTGAAACTATATTAAAGTTATATTAAAAAACTGGCGAAACTTTGGAGAAAGGCGAAACTGCCGAAACTTATTATAAATGCCGAAACTGCCGAAACTCTGCCGAAACTATAATAAATCTATAGTAAAATTTTGACGAAACTAATCGTAGGATTTTGAAGAGGTTTAGACAAGCAATCTTACTGATGATCCACTTATTTTTCTGTCGCACAGGAGTGGCCCAGCAAATTTTTCTTTTGAGCGAAGTGATCCGGGTTGATGATCAGTATTCCGGACTCGGCCCTTAAGGCGCTTCACTAAATTTTCTGCATTAAATATATTACTTTATTATAGCAATCATGGCAAATAATAATTCTGAAACGCTTGCTCAGTTTTATGGACTATTTTTATATAAGAAGAAGGATATAATAGCTATTCAGGAGAAACTTGGTATTGGTCCTGGCAATGCAAATGAATTAGTAGTGCCTCCAGATTCCAAGCTCATGGGGAAAACACTTGCCGATTCTTACGAGCTGTTGTTAGAATTGGTAGGGATTTAATACCGATTCAGGAGAAACTCAACATTGATGGTAATCCCATTCTAGAAGAGGCACTCCGAAGCAATAAAGCTTCTACGGATATTCCATTTGGTGAAATATTTAATTTGTTTATGTGTTTGGAAGAGAATATAATAGCAATTCAGGATAAACTCGACATTGTTGGCTATTCTAATCAAGAAAGGGTGGAAGAAGTTGATGAAAATATAAGAGCATGTCTCCGGAAGCTTAAGGAGTTTCATGGTCCCTTAGAGGATGATCCAGGTGTGATATTTCCAAAATATGGTGAAATGGGTGTAAAGAAAATTATGTTTACTGGAGAGGGGCTTCCATTATTTCCGAAACTCTCTCCTCAACAATTGCATGAAATATTCGTCAAAAATCCATCTAGTGCCGGTCAATGCCCATGTCTAGAACGGGTTAGCTAATCTATATTTTTTGTCACACATTCTGACCGAAGGCGCTGTGCATGGCCCAGCAAATTCTTCTGAGCTGATGATCATGAGAATCGCTTCACAGCCCACTCCGGACTAGCTAGATTGGTAAAGTACGGTACCATTTCTGATTGATTGGCTAGTATTCTATCACCAGCTCTCGACATTAAGGTGGAAATATTACCTCGAGTCAGTGAATGTCTGTTCATAGCTATAATGTGGTGATTGTCACCAGAGTCAACCATCATGAAACTAAGATGCTGGTATAACTGAGGTAGAACTGAATTCAGATTATTACCAACACTATGCCGAATGTTATATATCCGTCCTATCTCTTGATCTAATTCAGCTCACATATCCATAGAATTCATGAAATCCTCAACATGGATATTTGGATTAAGTAAAACGAGCTGATCTATGGCTTCTTTAGTAATATTAGCACACCCCTCCAGATTAAGATATTTTAAATAAAGACACGAATGAGAAATTTCTTTGATAGTTACATCAGTAATTCTACAAAAACTAAGGTTGAGATGTTGGAGATTTGGACAGGAATGAATGGCATTGCAAATTGAAGTCTCGGCGACGTAAACATACTTACCAAAATCAAGATACTCTACACTAAGATGTTTCTCTACATTAAGGTGTTCCTCTACAGTAAGAAGTTTTTCTACTAATATATCACATCTATTTTTTCTTCGACAGCTACCCAGAATACTGAATCTTCATAAATTTGGACATGAGTTTAAGATGTGACTTATAAATCTTTCAGAAATCAAATGCGCACAAGCAAAATAAAACTCTTGTAAAGCTTGGCAACTGTTCGCAATTTTGATTAAAGATCTATCAGTAATGCCTTGGCAGAAAGAAATATTTAGATATTCTATTTTACGACATGATCCCACCATTCCACATAAAGCTTTATCACCCATAATACCACTACTACATAAATTAAGATATCTCAGATTGGGGTATGCTTTAAGCTGATTTAATGCTCTATTACTAAAACCCACACAATTTTTGAAATTCAAATAAATTATGTTTGGGCATGTTTTTACGATGCCTTCAATTTTCTTACTTGAAAGTGGATTATAGTATGGAATTTCGAGATGGGTTAGTTTCGAGCTATAAATTGGCTTTTGCTTCCCACATACTAATTCTATGAATTTCTTTGCTTTGGGATCGTTCCCCTTTAGCTCAATACGTCTCCATAGAATAGGGGCACTGCATCTATACTACAATCGGAAAACAAATAGAGCGGGGTAAATGGATTTATCTATCAATAAAAAATGTAAAATATGTTCTAGTACTTCTGGTAAATAAAAGATGGTTGAATACACCATAAATATTCTGTTTTATATGCTGTATCTTTAAACAAAAAATAAAATTAGCTGAGCCTAGTTCGCTGGTAAATTACTGCTCCGAACTAAGCCTTTCCACTATGTCATCTAACGCAAGTACTTGTAACCCATCCAAACAAACTTTTAATATATCTTCAGGTGATAATCCTCTGAAGAATAGATTTTTAAGAAGCCATTCTGGATTAAATTACACTCTTTCAGTTTCGAATAATATTCCTTTACTGTATAATTGCCTTGAACTATTCTCCCAAATAAAAAATTCATTCTTTTGGACCATTCAAGATTAACCTCTCTTTCCCATATATTATTTATATTGCGGGCATTTTTTAGATCCCGTTCTGGGAGGTACTTTGAAATGGATGGTATTAGTTCAGTCTCTTATACACATCT